TCCACGTCGGGGCAGCGGCCGGTGTAGGTCGCCCAGTTCTGCACGTAGTCGTGGTTGTAACAGTCGGGGAAGAGGTAGAAGCCCCAGAGGTGCTGGGGCCGAAATCTCTTGGCGGAGCGCAGCGTCCTCAGCATGAACTCCCGAGCGCCGAACTCGAACTCGTACTGCGCCTGCTTGCTGACGCGGTCTGGCGGCCAGTCGGGGTGGCGGCTGGCCACCAACTGGCGCGACAGCTGGCGGTACACGTCCTTGTCCTGCCAGTTGCGCACCCACACGGGCCGCCAGTCCTCCCAGTCGATGACCGCCAGGCCCGCGGGCTCCTGCCTGCGGATGTAGTGCTCCACGCGCTCCTGCAGCATGTCCAGGTGCGCCCGCAGGACGCTGTCATTCTGGGGCACCCCACCGTGCACCGGCTTCTTCGCCTCCGGATCGAAGTAAGGGTACAGGCCCAGCCGCTCCCGGTAGAAGATGGTGATGTTCTGGTCCACGAAGCCCTCGTTAGGGGAGGCCTGCACGTCGAAGGCCTTCTCCTCCAGGTCCAGCGGCACCTTGAGGCGCGGGCCACAGTCCTGCGTGGGCACGTCCCATGCCACCACGAAGGGCCGGCCGGTGAAGATGGGCGTCGCTGTGGGCTTGAGCTCCTTGGCCCGTGCTACCGCCAACGCCAGGGCCAGGGCCAGGATGATGGCGGGGCTCAGGCCTGCCCACATGCTGGGGGCTGCAGGAGGAGGGGTCACCTGCCTGGCACCGGCTCAGGAGCTGAGGAAAGGGTGAGGGAGAGCAAGTCAGCCCAGAGAGCCTGGAGGGGCGGCCGCTAACCCGTCCACCTGCCGAAGCCCACGCTGTCAGACCCTGGGACCTGCTGTCACAGGTCTGGACCACAGGCCACCCCGGGGCAAGCAAGACCCCGGGAGCTCACGGCAGGCGCTAAGCAGTGGCCTCGGCTGGGAAAGGACCTGTTGGGTCTGTGACCCCTGAGAACTGGGCGAGTCCAGCTACTGACTCGCTGCCGAGACACTCAGATGCCCGTCCCCCCCCCCCCCCCCCATCGCTTCGCAGCGCCCAGACCCGAGGCCCACGGTACCCGGGGAAGAGCTCTCGGTCCAGAGAAGCGCTAGCATTCGGGGGAGGCCCCGGGGCCCCAGCAGCGGCCCGCAGGCTGGAGCGCACCGCCCGGGCCAGCGAGGCTGTCAGGACTTTGTCTCGAGGCGGTCCCTCTCCCCGGCCCCGCGAGGCCCCGCGGGGACAAAGGGGCAGCGGACCTCCCACGGCGGCGCCCGCGGCCGGCCCTTCCCTCCGCAGCCCCCGGGAACGCGCGCCCCCCGCCAGGCGGGCCGGGTAGAGCCCCCTCCGCCGGGCCTTTGTGCGGGACCCCGCCCCCGCCCCGCACGTGGGGCCCGAGCCCGGCCCGGTGGGGCTGGGGTCCCTGGGCCGCCTCCCTGGGGGTTCGGAGCCCAGCCCGCGGGGAGAGAGCCGCCAGGCTGGCATCGCCCGCCCTCACCTCGCGCGGGCTGCCGCCAGGACCCGCGCCACAGCCACCGCCATCCTGGGCCCGGCCCA